TATCAGGTTCCGTACAACGTATTATAAACGCTTGACCGTCTGAGCAACCTAAATAACAGGCCGTTTTTCAACGACTTAACCAGTTAGCTAGCTGGAGTGGGAAATTCTAGCATACCCATAATGACGGTGGTTTTTCACCGACTTGACCGGAAAAGGGTTAAGCTTGGAGATGCGCATTACGAGTCCTCCTTGCCGCATCATGGACTTTTTCATTAAGATCAAGTGTCAATGCCTTTCTTAAGTCAGTCACATTCTCGGCTTTCTCACAGAAGAAACATTTGGTATTGAGATAATCTTTTTTCACGTTTGATGGTCATGGCACATTTTCCCGTCAAGAATTCAGCCACCTAGTCTTAATTGGGTTTGACATTGTACGCTAACTTCTGCTTTTCTTTTGGCCCAATCCACCTTCTGTTGATTATACTGCGCTCCTGCAATTTTTGTGCCATACTACTTTATTTGTCGTCATTAGTGTCCACACCATCATCATTGCCAGCTAACAAATCCTCTACTACTACAAAGCAAGGCAACTCACCATACTCACTGAGATCACAATACAAAGTATACAAGTTTCAATATTTATGTAGTTGTGTATTAATTCCTCTAGAAATTATTTATCAATGTTTGAGATAGTATATTTGAAGACTTATTGAAATAAAGATAGTTTTCTCTTTAAAACAGAGCTCATCATCTTAGTGATTGTCCATGTCAATGTTTTACTTTTTCGACTTCTTGAAAACTACAAGCCTAAATGATTTGATACTTGGCGTATATGTACCTTGGGTGGGCCTCTCTTAGATTTGTTCATTTCATGCTGATTTCTTCAATTCTCTAATTTTGATGAATATTTTTTGTAATTTTTGGTAAAAAGTGATATTTTCGACTTCTTTAAAAAAAAACGCAAGTCTGATTGCTTTTATATTACATAAATACGAGGGGCGTTCAATAAGTAATGCCCCTGACCCATTTTCCATAGCAAGAGAATAATGACACTTGGCACAGTTATTAGTTTTTCTCTACATAGGAACCACCCAGAGCTATGCATTTTTCCCATCATTTGATGCAGCTCTGGACACCCCAGGTTGGTCCTACAACCACGTCGTAACTCAAAAACAACTTCATGGCTGGGAAGAGATGAAAGTTCAGAGGGTGCAAAGTCATGAGAGTAAGGGGATGGGGAGGATTTCATAGCCACATGCCCGCGCTTCTGATCTGGCGACATGCGACTTATGAACTGGAGCATTGTTCTGCAGGAGGAGGATGCCTTTGCTGATCTTGCCCTGCCTCTTAATTTCAATAGCTTCTCTTAATTTCATCAAAAGTGAAGCGTAATAGGCTCCTGTAATTGTGGTACCCTTTGCCAGGAAATCTGTCAATGCTGGTCCAAGAAGCCTGTGAGCATGACCTTGCCAGCGGAGGACTGCACCCTTGCCTTCTTTGTAGGTGGTGAGTCCAAGTGCTTCCACTGCATTGACTGGGCTTTGGTTTCTGGATCATAGTGATGGACCAAAGTTTTATTCTGTGTAATCAGTCTTTTGAAAAAATTTGACTCATCTTCTTGGCACATCTCCAAATTCATCCTCGAGCACTTCTTGCTTCTGGAAAGGTGTGAGCAATCTAGGAATCCATCTAGCAGACACCTTATGCATAATGCAAATGGTCATGAATGATAGTTTCCACAGACCCTGTACTAATCTTGACCTCTTGGGCTATTTGGTGAACAGTAATGTGTCGATCTTTCATAATGGCTGCCTTAACTTGACGGACAGATGCCTCATCAATGGCAGAAGAGGGACAACCAGGTCTGGCAGCTGTTTCCACAGACTTCCGGTCATGTTTGAATTCACAGTGCCAGCGTTTTACAAGGTCATATGATGGGGCATCACCACCATAAGTTTCTTTCATTTCATCAAAAGTCTTCTTTGGTGTGCGTCTTTTCAAATACAAAAAACGAACCACTGGCCCCATATTACACACCTGACTCAGTTCAAACACCTGTAAATCATAAACTACAATTAGTTCAGAGCTGTTTTTTGCAACATAGAGATGTAAATCATTAACATGCAAAATTTAGATCAGACAACTGGAAGTGAGTCAGGGATATTACTTATTGAACGCTCCTCGTATCTCAGCCGACAGGCTGCTTGTTCATTCTCACGTTCACATAGCAATTTGCATAATTTAGGCATAGCTTGTACATTATATGCAACTTGGGGGTTATTAAATACTGAGTAAAATTTAGTTCAGATATCCCCCTACTGCCTAATTGGACATCATTCAAAGTAAGACCATTTTTTTGTGTCTTTGTTTTTTTTTCATTGGTGAATTTTGTATTTTGAGGTTCTAATATGCATAATATGCTAATTAGGTATTATTTACATAGAGACAGTGTGTCTCTTTGGATGAATTTTTTCCTTTCGATCCAAAGAACATGTGTGCCAAGTAGGAAGTTTGTACCACAAAAAGCAGAGCATAAAAACCTCGAAAATTAATAGTTTGCATGTACTAATTGCCAGAATTTATGCAAATTAGCTGGGTTATTTGCATAAAAACAAGATTTATTTTGCATGATATTTTTCTGCTTGGTCCATAAATATTTTATATCAAGCTAGACATTTGTTTGACATGAATAAATATTTTTTAATTATGCAAATTAGGCCTTATTTGCATAGATACAGAGTGTCTCTTTGGATGAAAAATTTTCAATTGCCCCAAGGAACATGTGTGCCAACTAGAACATTTGTACTAAAAAATGCAGCGTTTACCCCCTTAGCAAGGCTACTATGTTAATTGGTAAAGGAAAAGTGTACTGTAACATGCCTATTTTGATACAGTATATAGGTATTCATCTTTCTAAGTTTTATTACTATCAGTATAAATCTTTATATAATTATATCTTGTCAACAGGTAAGAATGTAGCTTCTGATATAGCTGATAAGCTGTGTGAATCAGTTGCAACTAAATTGGAAGGAAAAGTACTTGGAACTTTTGACCGTAAGTATGAACTTTTTATTTTGTTGTTCTGTAACCATGATATATATTTGCCTATTGTAGTACTTAGTGAAACTACTGCCACTGAATTTGTTGACCAATTCATGATTCTATTCAGAATACCCTCATCAACAAATGTCATTTGAAAAATTCATCAGGTTTTCCCTGAAATTTGGAACTTAATCAGACAGATGATGTGTGTTGTTTGGTAAACAGATAGTTTGACTGTTCAATCTTTGTTCATATGTTTCAGGTGTGACTTCTGCTGTGAAGCAAAGTCTGAATGAATCTTTGATACAGATTCTGTCTCCCAAGAGACGTATTGATATCTTACGTGATGTCTTAGATGCCAAGAACCACAGTCGTCCTTATGTCATTACATTCTGTGGTGTTAACGGAGTGGGAAAGTCCACTAACCTTGCTAAGGTAAGGTGATCTTCTACATAATAAGTTTTCTTGTGAATCTCCCAAAGAATACTTGCATTAATGGCGAGATCAAAAATAGTTTGGCTTATTAGTCCTCATTCAGATACAGTCTGAAAAGGGGACTACTAACTTTGTCTATCTGTATTGTACGTTAGTAACATTTTCTCAGACATTTTGCAGCAGATATCAATCAAGCTTAGCATGTGTTTGAGCCGCTCTGCTTGCTTTTCTAAATCATTTACTACGTTCACGTTACAGGATCTCGGCACGTGCCGAAATTGTTAATCCTTTGTGTTTGCAGAGGGATTACAGCAGTTGTCTTCACGTTATTTGGGACTCACTTAGGACCAACATGGCTTCTGTAAAAGTCCTGCCTTCATTCATCGATCTGTTATTTGGCCCAGACATGGAAAACAGTACTATACAATGATAATAATAATTGCTATATTGAAATTATATCCATTTGTTGTTATGGTATTTATTACGAGTCATCGCAAACATGAAGGGCAAAAAAGATTCAAAAAACAATTATTTGTTCACGTCAGTGTAGCTTCGCAAGAAAATAGCGGTTGCAGCAGACATAAATATGCGTGGCTGACGATGGTTTGTATTCATTTCATTCATTACTACAGCATCCGGCCATATACTAGTATATCTGCATTTCCTGTCATCATCATTTCGTACTAGTATGAATCAGCATATGTCTCCTCAGTAAATAATTCTGCTCATCAAATAAATGATTCACAGCTAGTATTGATGTCAACGGTTTACTGCTCATCTCCTTACAGATATGTTTTTGGTTAATTGAGAATGGATTCCGTGTCTTGGTGGCTGCATGTGATACTTTCCGTGCTGGTGCTGTGGAGCAGCTACGTACACACACACGTAAATTGAATGCATTGCATCCACCACAGTCGCATAGTGGTGCACAGATGGTGCAGTTATATGAAAAAGGTTATGGTAAAGATGCAGCTGGTATTGCTATGGAAGCTATCAATTATGGTAAGAATCTGCATCTTAACTATGTCTTCTTTATCATCTGGCTTTTATGTGTGTACAAATAAATCAAATTTGTCAAATGCTGTGTTAAAAATGTAATTTACATATCATGGATTTTTAGTTCCTTTGTTCCAATGAACCTTTGATAGTGTGCCTGATTAGCATTACAGTGAAATGTGATAACAAGTGATAAACTCATTGTTTAATTGCAGCTCGTGACTGTCATATTGATGTGGTTTTGGTGGATACGGCTGGTCGTATGCAAGATAATGAACCACTCATGAGAGCGCTGTCTAAGGTAATTAAAACACATTCACTTACATTAATACTGTAAATGCATTAATTATTCACTGGCTTTTAATTTACTGTAGTTTATTTTCACTTGGAATTAATTTGGCACTATTTTCGCTGAAGGAATGATTCAGTGAAAATAAAGTTCAGCATATACCTTTTTTCACCATATAACTTGTCAAAAATCAGTTAAAAAATTAATTCTAGCTAAAATAAAGTTTTTTACAGTACCTATTTTGGCTGATCAGTAAAATTCGCTAAATTAAATCTGTGTGAACATGTAAAATAACAATAAAATCCATTTCTTTGACATATTTGTGAAAACATCAAAATAGTATAATTAAATGTCAGTGAAAAATTAATGGTTTTACAGTAGCTGAGTTTTGGGCTCTGGTTGCTTGAAAATCCTGCGTATGACAATCTCATTAGTTGGGGTTGAGATTACTATGCTTGTGGTTATCAGTAATACCCAAGGTACCAGTAGATTTTAGCATTTTATTTTGCTATATCAACTTCAGTTTTGTAACTAACATATTGAATTGGTAATATATTGCAGCTTATGAAATGTTTGTATAATATAAAAAATACATTCCTACACACATACTGTATGCAGGGCTTGGACTTTGATGCAAATAAAACAATGCCAATTTTTTTTTTTTACACACTGTTACTCATTATGTTGTTTCTTTCAGCTCATTAAAATCAATCAGCCTGATTTAGTTCTGTTTGTTGGTGAAGCTCTGGTTGGTAATGAAGCTGTAGATCAGCTAGTTAAATTCAACCAGGCCTTGGCTGACCACTCACAAATGGAGAATCCTCGCCTCATTGATGGTATACTGTTGACCAAATTTGATACAATTGATGATAAGGTAAGCCTCCAAATACTTGCAGAGTACATAGCATTTATTAGGAATTCAACTATCATGTAAATAAACTGGTGATGGCTTGTGATAGATGCACTACTTGTCTTGTGGTTTCACAAAACAAGTTTTATTATTACCAGTATAAATCCACAACTGTGAGCTATGGAGTTTTAGAATACAATTATTTCCGTTATCAGCATCCAATAACTATGCAAATTAGGATGTGGAATTGAATAATTAAGTAAATTAGGATGTAGAATTGAATAATTAAGTAAATTAGGATGTGGAATTGAATAATTAAGTAAATTAGGATGTGGAATTGAATAATTAAGTAAATTAGGATGTGGAATTGAATAATTAAGTAAATTAGGATGTAGAATCCAATAATTACGTAAATTTATCTGTAGATATTGGTTAAAGTGCAAAAATACATCTACAGTCTTTATAGATTGTATAAAGCATAAGAGAGCTGTTTTGGTCTTCCTTCAGGTCTGATCGAGTAAAAAAAATTCTCAGAATTTGCATCAGTGTGCATGTTTGAAAGATTTGATTATGTAAATATTGAATATATCACCGACAGTGCCTGATGGCAAATTATGAAAATGAAATAATAGTTTAGCTAAACTTTTCCCAACTGCTATAAAGAAAGATATATGATGTACACATGTACTCTGATTTAATTCTGTCATTTTGGTTAATAACCTCATCTTATGACATGAATAAACAGTTGTACTTTGACTATGTTTTGTTACAGGTTGGTGCTGCCATATCAATGACATACACTACTGGTCAGCCTATAGTATTTGTAGGAACAGGTCAAACCTATCGTGACCTCAAGAATCTGAATGTCAAAGCAATCATCACTGCTTTACTTAAATCTTAATTTGATCTCTTTGTAAACAGCAGTCCAGACTCTGAAGTATTGTTAGCAAACAGATAAAAGTAGTAAATTGTACTTTACATTTTAAAGGAGAAACATTTAACTGTATTTAATTTTATCATAATTTATGCTGCATGGATATTGACTGGATTTAATTTAAATGTATTTATGAGTCAATTAAGTGAAAAGAAAATTAATTACCAAATAATTATAATCTTTTTTCAGTAGTTTATCTTCTGAAATGAGTATTGTGAGTATTCACTCTAATTACATGAACTTCAAAGGAAACAAGTCACTCCAATACATTAATGTTGGTAATTACAATGTGTTTTATATTTAATATTTTTCATAATAAAAAGATAATAAAATTAAGTACACAACATTTTTGATGAATGGGAATATGTGTTAACATTAATCTGTTTTCTTGTGTTGCTTTAATACTATGACTATACGCTGTCATTCTCACAAATACATACACCATATGCTTCACAATTGTTATAAATTTGACCTAGTTTATTTAAACAATAATATTGTTATAAATCGCTACCATGATAATTAAACAAATTTGAGAGATTTTTGTTAGAATGAATATACTATAAAATGGAGGTTTGCACTATTATATGATAATGTGTAAATTCTTGTCATCATGGGAACATCTAAATTCTGATAGTGGTGATATATTTTGAATACCATATATGCAGTATTGGAAGCACATCTCCACATATACATGTGTAAGCTTACAAATTACATTTATTGATGGATTATGTATTTATATTTTGTCTCTACTAAAAACCCTCAGAATATTTGTATAGTAATTAAGTTATGAAATTAGATTACAGACACACTTGTGTCATTTACTTGAGTGTTCCAACAATAAGCAGCAACAAAGGTTCAGAATTTGACATTCATAGAAATTTTGTTATACTCTCACCATTGTACCTTATTTGAAGATATAAAATTCTATAGGAGTTCATGCTAAAGTTTTATTTAAAATAAATAGTATTCGTCAATTTTTTCAATAATTTGGGGACAAGCAAAAATTCTATTTTACAACTGTACATGATTTTTTTACCATATGAATCCAACAGAATTTTGAGATGTAGTAGTTTGGTGACCATATTTTTGTTATCAGTGTTTCGTTAAAGCCAAATAAAAAAAATTAGGGAATCTGTTGATAAGCTTCAATAGTAACTAACTACTTTAGAACACAATATTTCAAACGCCAACAATTGCAATGTTTTACAGTATACTACAATGGTGTATCATTTGCTGCTATTTTAGTCTATCAGATAA